GGCAGTCACTCACTATAGAGATCTCAGAAGGACCTGAGTTTGAGATTGAGGAAATTTGAGGTGAATGAATCTACCAGAGGAAAAAGCAATACCTTGTTAAATGAGTAAGTTGGGCTGAGTCTACATGAAATGACATGAGTCTCCTACAAGAAGTGAAGGCTTTGAACACTTGAGAGGCCTCTCAACAGGCAAAATTAGATGTAAAGAGGACTTTAAATAGTCATAAAGATCTGCAACAAAGAGGGAGAAGAGGGGTATTATAAGGAGCTGAACCCTTAGATTCACTCTGGCTGGCTGACTCAGCCTAGTCATTATTTGCATATACACACATGATTATGCTATGCAAGCTTGCTTAAGTTTATGTTCTCATCTCATTCTTTTCTTCCCTTTCCCAAGCAATTCATCCTTGTTATATAGGAGGACTAGCCTCTAGTTCTTAGAGCTTAATCCTCTACAATTCTTATGTATAAGTATTTTTTTTTCAAAGATAAGCTTCTTACTAGTATATATAATCTTTTTTATATTTTTAAAGAGTAAGCTTTGCTGAATTTGAATTCTTTTAATATTATATTGAAGAGTATGAATAATTATAGATGTAGCAATCTCAGTTGAAGCTGAATTAACTGAAAATATAGATTATTTTGTAAATCAATGAAGAACATACTCAAAAGTAAAAGAATAAATATCAGTGACAGCAAATATAAATTAAATATTTTTAGTTATTAAAGACTGATATTATACAGAAATAAAAACTAATAAAAAGCTTTTTTTATTATTTAAATAAATTTAAATTCACTGTAAAGAAGATTATTAACACTATGAGAATATACTTCTGCTAGAGAATTAAAGATATTAATATTTAAAAATTATAGTCAATGAGTTAAATATGAAAATAGTACTGTAAGAAGAATTTAATTTTGATTTGTGAAATTAATAAATCTCATATTAATATGAGAAAAGTATTTATTTAGAATAAAAAAATATTTTCTGTAATCTGCTTTAATCTTGATGTGCTCATCAAAGATCTACTTTAGTTAGTTAAATTTATAGTCATCATTACTTTAATCTTTTTTAAAAACTGTAAATAAGCTGTATTATTCTTATTCAAATTCTCTAGTCATGTATTTAATATATCATAAAACTCTTCTTGATAAATAAAAATAAATAAAAGAGCTGTTTTATCTGCACATATTACTGTGAGTAGAGAGATAAATTCACAGCTGTCATTTTGAACTATAGTAATTCACTTTGTCTTCAAAGTTTCAACTGAAATGATCTGCTTAGTAGCCTGACTGATATGAATTAAAAAGTCCTTTTCATTAAAATTATAGATATTTAATGACTCAATATTATATTTTTTGATCTTCTCATTTAACTATATAATCACACAGCACAATAATTAGCAAGAGTCTATAGAGAACTTAGTGCAAGAAAACAAGCAAAAGATCAAAATACTAACTGAAAATAATACTCAAAATAAGTAAAATTATCTGCTATTTTATATTTTTAATCAATGCTATGAATATAAATTCTTTGAATTTGAGTTTTATAATGCTCAATAAAGTGTTTCACTTAATAAATTTTAATAGATTCTTTAATAATTTATATAATAAGATTTTAAATAATTTGAGATGTAGTAGTAAAATTATGAGCTGCAAGCTTCCTTATATGAAGCAGAAGTATTTGTTTTTACTAATTTGAAAGCTTTTTCTTATATTAGAAGACTGCTTTATTTTGCATAAGTTGCAAGTTGTTATAATAATAGTGCAGTATTTTCTTATTAATTGAGTACTTTTTAGCAGTCGTAGTGTAATTTTTGACCTTTTAAGCTCTTAAATTTTTAATTATAAGTTAAATAGCTTCTTTATTTGACATCTTGAAGTAGTAAAAGTTGAAGAATTAAATTGCAGCATATTGCAAAAATGCAGCTCATTTAGTGATACAGCTTATTTAGTAATAAATCATATTAACAATAATGTTGATGATGCTTATATTAAATAACTAAGCTAGTCAGTCTATATTTTGACAGATTCTTTTTTAATCACTCTATTCAAATCTAACTCATTATCTTTATTATATATTTTTTTAATCACATTATTAAAATAAAGTCTAATAATAAAACTGCTATAGCTACTGCTATGAAGAATTTAAAAAATAATATTTTTCAATCTGAATGAGCTGCTGTTAAAGTATATAATATCTCATAAAGCATATTGAAGAGTAGAAAAAATAATTTTATTTAATAAATAATTACTCATCAATATTGACAAAAGTTGAGTTCAAAGCAAGAGATCTTTCTAGTTAAATTAATAAAAGAGCAAGATTCATAAGGATTTCTACCCTTTCACATACATATATAAGAAATAGTAATTCAAATTATATGAATAAATTGAGATCTTATTCAGCTGAGTAAGAATTGAAAAAAAAAATTTCTCAAATAAAATTTTATAATAATATCTATGATTGACTGAAGGATTGAGTCTCAAAGAATAGAGAATACTTAGTAGAAAATACTTCAGCAGTTCTATAACTATTTTTCTAAGACACAACAGATTTATAAAATAGTTACTGAAAATATATAGAATATAAATGAATATGATATTGCTTTAGAAGTATATACAAATACTAGAATATTTACTGAGTAAAGAAAAGATATAATCTACATTAAATCTCTCTCTAATCATGAGTAAGTTTTAATTCTTGAAGCTATTAATACTGATGAGCACTATATAGACTTTTTAGTCATTTTTTAAGATTAAAATGCATAATCTAGCTAATTTGAGAATGTGAATATACTCAATTAAACCTGTACAATATCAGATAATAAATAGACATTGAATAATATATGTTTCAACTGATTATATATGATTTTTCTATTTTAAATATTTAAAAAAAATCAGTATAGATTATTAGTATTAGATGATTATACCAGTCATATCACTGTTGAATTTCTATGAAAATGTCATATAAATTTGATTCATTTAGTGTTTTTACCTGCTCATACATCTCATGTTCTTCAGCTATTGAATTTTGAAGTGTTTTCACTTATGAAGAGTTACTATAGAGCTGAGATCATTATTTTAAGCTATCTGAATGATGCAGCTCCTGTGAAGAAAAAAAGATTCATACAAGTCTATGAACAAGCACATTCAAAGGCCTTAGAATTTTATAATATACATAGAGGGTGGAAAGCAGCTGGTCTAGTGTCATTTAATCCTTTCAAGGGATTAGATTCCTCTTAGGTTTGAGATCAGGGTCAATCTAACCCTAGGCCAGGAACATCAACAATCTCTCTATCTTCTGAACTACAAGATCCCTTGCTTACAACCCCCTGAGATCCTAAACAAATAAGGCTCTGCAGCAGTTGAATAAGAAGAGAATTCTTACAAGAAAGCAGTGAGTTTTTCTTTGTAAAACTAGCAAGGTGATTGGTGAGTTGAATGTTCTACAAGCTGCCAGTCAGTCTACAATTTTTAAACTCTCTAATCAACTAGAGACCCTACAGCAGTCAAAAACCAAAAAGAAGATGGAAGTTGATCCAAATACCTGATTTATCAATATAGAAAGGATTAAAAAGGCTCAAGAAGAAGCTGCTGCTCTAGAGGCTAGGAAACAACTACAGAAGCCAGAAATTGAGGCTAAAAAAGCAGCAGCAGCAGCAGCTTTAGCAGCAGGTCTGGAAGCCTGCATGTTTGAATGGCAATTAGATTGAATTTGTAGTTAAATATTTACTCAAATAGGAAGAGGGGTTGCTTTGGATAGAGGGGTCGAAAAAGGGTCTGGTCGAAATATAGACTGGCTAGCTTAGCTTTTTCCCCTTCTCTCAGTTTTATTGACTCCAACACTCCGAGACACACTCCGAGACGAAAGGAACAACCACGCTTGTTCTCCCGAAAGGAATACTTCTTGATATCTTACTTATTTATATAAAAATAAATAAATATATAAATAAGTAAAATAAGATAAAAATAACAAAATAGAAGAGAAGGTCATTGCAATTTTCCATAGTTTGCGACTTTGTCCTTACACGCATGTATCACCCACCAACACTACGATATGCAGTAATAGAATCCTCCTCGAACCCCCTCTCGCGCTTTCGCGGCTTGGACGGGTTACAATGTTGCCAAGCAGCGATGACTGGCATACATAGATAGTGACCACGGAGGCTGTTTGCTTTTGCTAGTGGATCGCTGGGCAGAGAGCCCAAATAAAGCAATACCTTACCGCTGCCTGGTTAATGCGTCCGCCCTCGCCATTTCAAAATCCAGCCTGATGAAAACGGATTTATTTATGGGAATGTTGCCACAAACATCTCATGCTTTGGGTAACCCTGCTTCGCCTGTGAGAGCTTGAGACAGCGGCTGCCCACTACTGTTGGCACGCATCATGAATGGCCTTATCCTGCATGCTCGGGCAGAAGGCAGGAAACCCTCTTTCTTGGGCCACGATGTCAAACAATCGAAAGTCTTGAAGGAGCGGAGCAGTGTAGCATAGCACATGCTTTCTATGCTCGATAATTTATGTACTTGTCCAAGGGCCATATGGGGGTGTGAACTCGTCGCGATCAGGTTAATTCCCAAGGAGGGAATCCAAGAATCCATAGCCATTGAAAGAGCTCTGCAGAATGCTTTCTCACACGATCACGGGGCTTCCAAGGGTTTTGGGAGCATGTATGCAAAAAGAGCTAATGTGGATCCCCGCTCCAGACCCTAATTCATTAAGGGAAGGAATATCAATCTTCAACTGAGATGACAAGATTCAGGTGCAAACGTGTATCCAGATTTTAGATATTTTTCCCGTAGTCTATTGTTGAGGCCCAGTATGCCCCTTGGATCGGGGCCAGTATGGGCCATTGGAAAGGCTGCTGACTAACGACGCTTGAGGCCCGTGTCGCCAGCCGTAGTTAACACTTTTCTTAACGCCACGGCGCGAGACTTTTATTAAGTGGTCTTCTACACGCGAATTATTGAAGCTCGTACGAAGGTCGCCTCCTCAACATCATGCAGTTTTGAACATTGAATTGTCACTCAACTTACTGTCTGATATCATCTACCTCCCAACCAAAGTTTCTATATTTGCGCCATATCTCCATCATGTAGGTTTGCTTGCCTCAGTGAGCTTGGTGGTGTACCACTATTGACCATTGCTCAGGGAGAGCTTCGAGAATATCTACCTCGATTTATCGAAACAACCAGGCAAATGTAAGCTTGCAGAGAGCGGCTTGGGTTGGCGGCCATCAGGCGGCGGTGACACATTCACTCTTGACAGCAGCAATATTGGCGCAGCGCAATGGAGTCGAGCTGCCAAGGGTTATGAGCTGAAGATCCTCTCCCGTTCCTCGGGAGTCATTCAGCTTGATGGATTCGAGCAAGAGGTACCAAATCAAACTACGAAACTATCGTGTTCAATTACCGTTAATCGCATCTAACACGGAGGTGTCAGGATTTTGACCGAACAAGCAAAGCCTTCAAGATCTGGTACGGCATCAACATCGAAAACCGAGAACATGCGCTTCGTGGATGGAACTGGGGGAAAGCAGAATTCACAAAAGCAGAACTCACATTCAATGTGCAAAACCGACCCGCATTTGAACTCCCTTATTCGGAAATATCAAATACAAACCTTGCGGGCAAGAACGAGGTTGCTGTTGAATTTGCACTTCCTGTTGATGGCGTTAACGGAACGAACGGACAATCAGAGGGTAGTACGAAAAGCAGAGGTCGGAAAGCTGGCGCCGGACGGGATGAGCTGGTAGAGATGAGATTTTACATTCCTGGCACAGCTCTTAAGAAGGAGAAACCAGAGGGTGAAGAAGGAGAGGGAGACGAGAAAAGCGTTCATGGCGAAGAGGCAGAGGAACAAAATGCGGCAAATTTATTCTATGAGACTTTGATGGATAAAGCTGAAATCGGAGACGTTGCTGGAGATACATTTGCTACCTTTTTGGATGTGCTACATCTCACTCCAAGGTCAGAAAATTCGCATTCCGCCTCTTCCTTGCGGGAATACTATTACTAACATAAACACAGAGGACGATTCGATATTGATATGTACGAAAGCTCGTTCAGATTACGAGGCAAAACATACGACTATAAAATTCAGTACCAGTCGATTAAGAAATTCTTCCTCCTGCCGAAGAATGACGATACCCATACATTGATCACGTTAGGCTTGGATCCCCCGCTTCGACAAGGCCAAACGAGATATCCATTCCTGGTTATGCAGTTGAAACTTGATGATGAGATCAGCATCGATCTAAATATGACTGAGTATACCACCATCCTCTCTCTATAATCATTTCCTCACGGGCCACTAACACCTTACAACAGTGAATTGCTCCAAACCCGTTACAAAGACAAGTTGGAGGCCCATTACGAGGAACCCATTCATCAAGTTGTAACGAAAGTATTCCGCGGCCTTTCCGGGAAAAAGGTCGTCATGCCCTCAAGGGATTTCGTCAGGTCAGCAACCGCTTTGTCTCATACCCTTTCTGAGCATCGGAGCAAAAATTCAGGCCCACACTCCAATCATACCCAATCACCCAATGGACGTCATAGGCCGAAAGTAACTGACCCCAAGTCTAGTCATCATGGGCATTCCGGTGTCAAATGTTCCATCAAAGCGAACGAAGGGCTCTTGTTCTGTTTGGACAAAAGTTTCATGTTTGTACCAAAACCAGCGACCTACGTGCAAATCGAGAATATATCCGTGATCACCATGTCCCGTGTTGGTGGTGCGATTTCCGCTAGTCGAACGTTTGATATCACGATGACCCTTAAAGGGGGAATGGGAGAACACCAATTTAGCAATATTAATCGGTATAGCCCCTTCCGTGGCCACAACTCTGGCTGAAGTAGTCTTTCAATGAATGATTTACTGACAATGGGACAGCGAGGAACAACAACCCTTGGAAGAATTTTTCAAGGCGAAGAACATAAGATTTAAGAACGAAATGGCCGATGACGTAAGTTAAAAACTTCCTTTCTCGCCCCGATCTACTCTAATATAAAACGATACACTGACAGTTTTCCCAGTCATCCGCCCTTATCGCCGCCGCTCTCGACAATGAAGATGCCTCCAGCGACGAAGAAATGGCCGCCGGCAACGACCGTGGTTCCGCAGACGAAGACGAAGAATCTGTCGACGAAGACTTCCAAGCAGAGTCCGAGTCTGACGTTGCGGAAGAATATGACTCTGCTCACGAAAGCAGTGGTAGTGGAAGTGATGCTGAAGTAGATGACGGGGATGAAGAAAATGATGCCGCCGCTGATGAAGATGAGGACGAGAGACCGAAGAAAAAGACCAAGGTCACAAAATGAGCGTATGGGTCCGTGGGGCACGGAGGATTTGCTAACTTTGTATCATCATCTTCCTCTTTTTTTTTTTTTTTTTTTTTTTTTTTTTTTTTTCGCTTAATGCGATTTACTTACCGTTGATGCGCTAATGAGATTTTGTCTTTCCTTTGCGGGACACTGAGCTGGAAACTTTTTCCTTCCTAACTGATTGTTATTACGATAAAATGAAACTGGCGGGTTTGTTCTAAAAGGGGGTTATCTCGAATCCGTTTTGCGCTGCCTCCACTTGATTTACGACTTTGCAAATATATAATGACTCTGGTATTTGTCCCATGTCGTTTATGATGGTTATCTTCGAAGCCGCAAAGCAATTGGTAATGTCTCCCTTATGACAAGGACGAAAGACCTTGGTTTTCTGAGTCCTGTCTCTCGTGGTCCCCCTGATGCCTGATATATTTTCAACTGCCTCACGATTTGGTATCACGTCACATGTCGGACCTCAGCCACGGTTTTGTGGCGCAGTGCATACTTCTGCATGCAAATGTTTCGGGTCCCGTTTAACAAGAAGAATTTTCTTCTTTTGCTTGCCATGATGGACACGTGTAGAATGTTGGAAGGATGGTATCGGAATTGGGTCAATTTTAAACGTGTTGTTGCAGCTCATCTCTGGAGTATGAATGCACATTGTTGCTGAACCGGCGGTTGGGAACAATGGGGCGCTAGCTGACGGAGAGGCCGAGTGAAGCACTAAGCAAATATGCCGAAATAGCGGGTTCTCGAGGAGGGAAACTGCCATCCCGTTTATTATCCGATGGGTGGAGCGAGGGCATGGGTTTGAATTGTTCCAAGCGAAAAATCGAACTCAATGATTTAAAATGATTCCAAGGACAAAATAATCGAAATGACAAAGTCAATGTTTAGGCCCCAAGTGGGAGTGTCCTTTGAGGGCACTTTGAAAATCTGGAATTCTAGATTTTTCCGACAAAAGAGGCAAACGGAACTAATGTTTCCGTATCACAGCACAATCACCACATCTGGTGATGATGTGCATGTTGATAGGAGAAAAGAAAATGTCATCAAGTGTTCTGTAAGGGTTCCAAGGTTTGCTCCCCTTTGCTAGCAACGCAACGGTGCTCGGTCCGCTTCCCTTCCCCTTAGGGATTCCCTTCCCGCTAGTTAAGCTCTTTTGAAGATCCACTCCGAAGTGACCATTTGGATTGACAAGAAAGGGAAGGGTTGAGGAGTTGGGATGGGGGTGTGAAAGGACAGGGGCCAGTTCTGGATAATGACTGGCTGGAGGGCGAACCCTTCGCTCGGTTGTCATTTTGGTAACGTGACTTTGTGGTGGTGTGGAGCTCAAATGAATTCATGGTCTTTTCTCGTGCCGGGTTGGGAGATATTTCCCATCCTGTTATTCGGTGTGTTACCCGCGACAGGGTTACCGTGTTAGGGTTAGAAACTTCAATCAGACCTTCTGAGAGTGTTTTCAACGGGTGGGAACATTGAGGGTTTCATGATGAAAGGAATGATAAACGGAATTGAGTCAGGCAAGGCATTTTGACCCTAAATAGAACTTCATTGGAAATAGGTATTTACTACGTCCCATCAAACCATGGCGGTTCGAAGACTGGTTGCTGTCAGGCCACAGGAAACGGGCTGCACTTTTGGGGGGGAGATGAAGATACAATACAATAGATAGATAGAGCTTCCCAGAACTCATCGTCTACCATCTGTTTTGGGCTCAAACTTGCATCCCTAACATGTTTATTGTATGCTTCTAGTAACACAGCGACCTCAGGAGTATTATCAGGTATCATGGACATACTCCGGAGTTCAGAATCAAAGACGAGAGATAGACCTTGGAAACCCCCAGCCACATGTTGATGACTAACAGACTGAACCTTTGGCTGGTTCTGGCAATATCACGTGGTTTGGCCGACCAGCCAAACATCCCTTCTGGCAAGGCTGATGTTGAACTTTGACGCGATGAGCCTGTCAGGAGATTTCCAGGGCTTGAAAACCGCGACATTTTTTATCTATCGCCGTCAACTCAAAGAAAAAAATCCCATGACACACCTTCGCATTGACCACTCTGAAGCTGCTCTAAATCTCCTTTCTCTTTCATGCCTCTCTACTTTCTGATACCTCTTTCTATTTAACCACGTGTCTCATCATGCAAGGTCAAATACATTGAATTTTTTGCGAAACCTTTCCCCCTTAAAGACCACAACGGCAATCTCCTCTTCAAGCGTACCCCCAAAAGTTTCTAGAAGTTATCTCGACTCTCAATTACCACTCTATCCACGCTTGCATCTACAATAATATAAAGGAATCCCCCGCTTTCATTCTCATCCTCCTTCGTGCCACATCCTCCGCCATGGCGGTCGAATACGGCAAGAAAACTAATGCAGAACTCATTGAGATCCTCAAATCCCGCTCGCTGCCACACACAGGGAAGAAGGCAGACCTAGTCGCCCGATTACAAGAATGGGATAAGGCTGAAGCCGCAAAAGCAGCGGCCGCTGGTCCCGCAAAATCAGATGCAGTGGAGGATGTCATTGATTGGGACGACGATGCGACTACTGAAGCACCGGCACCTGTGAAACCAAGCAGCACCACGGCAGCCCCAGCTCCAGGAAGCCAAGTATCGACTACCACTTCAGCCCTCAAACAAAAAGTCGGTGTCGCTCCCTCCACAACTGAGCATTCCAAAGCTGCCAGAAGTGAGGTCAAGACGTCCGCACCAACTGCCCCCGGCGCTGTGGATCAAGTTGCTCCCGCGGGGGCAACAAAACGCACCGATGAGCAGTCCGCAGAGAAACCCGCAGTGGACTACAGCATAGGACTGTCAGCCACAGATCTGGAAGCTGAACTCGCGAAACGTAAAGCTCGCGCGGAGAAGTTCGGGATAGTAGAGGATTCAGCAACCGCTCTGGAACAAGCTAAAAAGGCCCTTGAGCGGGCGAAGCGATTTGGGACAGTTACGAAGGATGCATCTATTGTAAAGGGGCTGGATGAGGCGCTGCCGGATGGTCCAAGGAAAAGAGGTCGCGGGAATGATGAGGGGCAAAGTGGCCGTGGTGGGAAGCGTCGGGATTCCAGACGGGGTAAAGGTTATATGGGAAGAAGTGGAGGTGGAGGCTATCGAGGACCATCCCAACAAAAAGCGGGTGGGAATGAAAGTTCATGGAGCGAGCAGGATCGCATTGCGCTGGAAAGGAGGAAGAACCGGTTTGGGCAGGTTTAGAGGGTCGACTGCTAATTTGTCGTCTCCTGGTTTTTATTTCTCGGATGTCGTTTCTATTGCCCTTTTGGTTTTTTCTTAAGTTTCAACTATTATCTTTTGTTGTTTCTTGCCATTTTGTGATATGTGACCCGGGAGTTTGCTGGCATGGGGATTCTTTCTGATATTAACTTTGTTACTTTTTATTCTCACATTCTGAAGTCAAATGAAATCTATATTTTTATCATTACTCTCCGTGTTTGCATTTCTGTTTTATACATTCCCTTCGTCCCCACTATACCGTTACGCTTTTCGCGGCAGAGTTGATCGTTGTGAGAATTTCACACATTATAAGGCGCCCTAAAATGCACAAAATGAAAAGCAAAAGTTGTGTGAGAGGTATGTATATATAATATAATATATATAGTAGAGAAGGAAAGTTTTTTCACCCACGTATTATGTGGAAAAAGCAGCTGTACGGGCATTTAGATGTGGTTGTTCAGATATCCTGGTTATTCCGAACGTGTATTACCAGACATAAATAGGGCTAAATCCGCCTGACAGCCCACCGCCCGAGTTAGCAAACAATCCATGAATCTCAGATATTTTGGGCGAAATAAAAATAAACCTCCAGGACGCTCTAACGAGTTCATGCATTCCTTGGCTTCTTACCCCTCCTAATTTGCATGACGCGGTAAGTGCCTTATTGTATTAGCAAGGAAAACTTCGCCATGGAATCTGAGCTGCCCGAATGACAGATTGGACCGACATAAGCCCTGACTTTTCTCCTTGGGAAACTCACCAACCCCGTGGTTAATGTACCCGATTATGATTCATGCAGGAGCCCATTTGGCTTTGTTATGAACTTGTTCTTACCAACACTTACAGTGGATCAAGTTGAGCAGTCCCTACAGAGCTGAATTGTGCATGTATCCTGCATAAGTTCCTTGACGTGGTTCACTGCAGAACCAGTCTTCTGCAGCTTTAAGCGATCTAGCGTAAGACGTAAGAGAATAGAGGAGAAACAAGAAGGGTTTCAACTGAAAGCTTAGGTTTAACACCTCCGCATTGACTAGTTAAAGCCATCAAAGAGAGAAGAGTATGGAGCGGAATTGGATTCATTTATGAAAATAAATTTACACAACGAATCCCAGTTCATTTCTCATATAACCAAGAGAAACAAAATTTGAATCAGCGATATTCCTCACGGTTCGTGCTACACGTGCAATGATAAAGGCTTGTTGGCGCCATTCCAATACTGACATTGGCAGACAATAAGATTAAGTCCACAGTGTCGATTTTTAGTTTAGCAAATGGAAACGTTGAAATTGAAGAAGCGAGTAACGCAGCGTAAGGCATTATTATTATTGTATTCCTATTCTCCATACTAAGGAAGAGCTCTCTTCCATCTTTTTACCAAGGTCGTCGTTAGCTAGTTAACTTGTCATTAGTAGCTTAGTTGCTGGACTAGTTAACCCACCCCACGTTAAATCTCCTGGTGAAAAACGGTTGCGAAGATTGGTGTAAAATGTGGCAGAAATATGCCTTCGCCGAAACTCTCACATCGATAGGGTAGCGGTCTCTGATACTATTTGACTTTAGATCAGCAGAAATATAACTATCTAGAAATCAAAATGAAAAGTGTTTTCTTGCTTTTAGTGTCGCCATCCGCGCCTCGCTGCACGTCATATAGGACCCGGCTCGACTGTGCTTGGATTGGGCAACGACGAGAAACTAGCAATATAAATATGTCTGTCAAAATCATAGCTCCTTTTACTCTTCATACTTCTCCTGAATAAAA